CCCTACAGGCAGAATACAACGTTTCAAAATGCTGGAGATTATCTGGGTGAAGCCAGAGATTACGTTTAATGTGATTGTGTCTTCAGACATTCTGCTCCTGCATTTCATGAGCTAAAATCTTTTATAAAAATGAAATCAGATACCTTCACTGATCTCCAATTTAACCGTGTCCTGTGAATTCAGAGAAGACTTTCTGAAGGAGGAATAGATTCATCACATACGTGGACTTCTGTTGTTGCTCAAGGATACGCTTTTTTTTTTCATTCTGAAAGGCTATCTACATGAAGATGAGTCTGCATTTAAGATATGATCTGTGGAATTAGGTGAACGAGGATACTTTTAATGAGTTACCAAAGTTTATTTCCATCTGTGTTTCCAGCTTTTTTTTTTTTTTAATACATAAAAATGAAGGATAAGTATAAAACAGCAGAGCTGATGTATTTCTGTGAGGCCTTTATGTAAGCCTCTGTTGTCTGGATGCGGTGCTAAAGGACAGGCAATCTGCTTTTGATCAGCTGATTGTAACTGCAGAAAGAGAATCTTTAATTTAAAGTAATTTACAGATGAAATTATTTTACTCTTTCGCTTGCACAGAATGAAAGGGAAAATTAAGTTTTACTGGTCAGGGCCGTTTTACTGAACTTTGAGAAAGGGAAAGTTACATTATCCTTGTTTTAATTTCAAACCAAGAACTGACAACATATTTTTCTTAGAATTTGACTACTGGGGAGATCTCGACAGAGTAAAGCAAGTCAGATGTCAGCAAACAACTCTTCTCCCCCATCCTTACAGAAGTTTTCCCCACCTACGTGTCATGCTGCTGCACCACAAACCCCAACTTTGTCTTCAAGTCCCCAGTCGGGGCTCTCCAGTCAGCTCTCCAATGGCAGTTTCAGTACCCAGAGCCTCACCAACTCCCGAGGCTCTGTGCATGGGGTCTCCTTCCTTCTGCAGATTGGTCTCACTCGAGAGACTGTCACCATTGAAGCTCAGGACCTGTCCCTCTCTGCTGTTAAAGACCTCGTGTGCTCTATAGTTTACCAGAAGGTATGGTATAACAGCTACCACGTCCTGGTGATGGCAACAAGTTGTTTTGTAACAGACTGCTAGTACTATCAACGTGTGTCTGATATATGCCAAGAAGTTTGGTACAGTGACAAAGATCTGTGTCAGATGTTTGCAGTTACGCACAAAGAAATGTATGTTTTTAACTACCAAGACAGAAGCTTTTAACTTAAAAGGAGTAAACCCTCCTGTTACTTTCTTTTTTTGTGAAATATAGTAAAAGAAGATGTAATAGTAAATTTTTTTGCAAGAACTAGTTTTCACAGTTTGGAGAATATGTCTTTTCAGTGATTGTCACTGATGTCTTAGGTTTTTACTGGTTTATGTTTACTGCTGTTAAGGAGTATTCTTGGAACAGTATAGCCAGCTGTAATGAAAGGACCAATTGTGGCTACAAAAATGCACTGCAGGCCTGCAGACTTGCATGATGCTAGCTTTCCTTTTTGTTTCTGGTTAATAATTAAAAACCCCACCAAACAGCTAAGGCTGTCCTAGTATGGTTATTCCATATAAGGAATACATGTGTTACTCTCTTAATGAGAGGACTACTGCCATATTAGAATAGTAGTATAGTAGAATAGTAGAATACTACTTCTATTAAGAGAGGGTGGACCAAGAAATCAAAAAATCTTAGCATACTTTTCAAATGTATTTTGGTTAAGCTGTTGCAAGTTCTGACTCTATAGGAAGGAAGTAACATTGATCTTGCTGGTTTTGCATCCAAGTTTTATCTGTGTTTAGGTTAGGTGGGTTAGAGCCTATGAAGCAACCTGAAAAGTAGTTAACATTGTTTCATAAAAGAATTGAGAAATAATTGCTCTTTTCCCTCAAGGCCAGGGGTGAGTGAGAGGGAGGGAGTTGAAAGTATATTATTTTGTAGGGAACTGTTTTCTCCGTGTCTTTCATTCTTGTGATTGGTATTTATGGTTGATTAGTTTTATTAGATGCTTCTTTTTCACTTAATATCTTGAAAGAACATAAATGCAAACATTATATGAACTCTCATTTGCATATGCTTGTGTATCTTTTTTCCCCATCTCATAACTAACTGCATCTTCCATATTTTTACAAATTAGTAGGCAAACAAGCTGATTTCAGAATAAGTTTACAGGCTACCAAAATGTAGTTCAGCATGTTAGTTAATTTCTGAAGAGACAAGTTATTTGGGTCAACTGTTTGGGTTTGTTTTTTTTTTTTTACCATACGTGCTAGGTGCACTTTTTCGCAGCCATTTTAGGGGCCGCTTTTTCTTTCTGTGTCAACTCCTCTTTGCATCTGCATATTTCCTGTCTTCTGTCTTAAAGAAAGATGAAAACAAATACATTCACGCTTATTTTTCTTTTTCCTTTCTGTTCTCTTGGCAGGCTCAGCTAAAAGTTTAGCTCAAGTTCTTCTTGTAGCTCAAGAAACTTTTTATATGCTGAGCCTAATCTACTGCAAAACTGATGAGGATTTCATGATCAGTTTTCCTCTTTTGTCTGTCTTTGATTCAGTTTGTGCTCCCCTGCAGCTGATGCTACAGTAAATGACTGCTCAATGAGAGCATGTTTGCAGGCAGCAAACTGATCAGGAAACAGCCTTATGTGTCGTGGATTCATCTTTCATAAGTAGTTTTGCAGCCAGTGCACAAGTGGCAATATCCTCCCTCCACCCTCTATTTGACAGCAATACATCCTGCCTTGACTTTTTTTCCCCTTAGATCTGGTAGCTGTTGCAAGCATATTAAATATTCTAGTATTAATATAGAGAGAATTTTGTATTGATGTCAAAATTGTAAGCTGTGTTCTTCTGTGTACTGTCATGCATATGGTTGCCTGTTTCTTCCATTTGAGAGGTTTGAAGCTACTGGGTTTGCTGTTGAGATTCCACAGTGTTAAAGCTTCCCTTTCCTCCCGTATTCCACAGCCTGCTTAAACTGTCTTTTCTTGACGGATTCCTGGCTCTCAACTTCAGGGTACTGTATAGTTTGTTCTTGTGATAGTTCTGTAGTTAGCAGTACCTATTTACTGTTGCACTTCCTTAATGAAAAAGGAGTAATACCTTTTTACTTTGAATCATTTATAGCTTTTCTTCTTATTTGAGTGTTATCTTTCCTAGAATTAAATGGAAGTTTCCTTATTTTTAACAGTGCTTTTAAGTCACCTTTCAGACTTGTATTTCTCTACATCTCTGGAACAAAAAAAAAGTTTCAGGTGTCCTTCCTCATTTGCTTGAGAACTTGAACTGCCTGCCTAACTCTGTTTGAGGCTACAATTACAGTATCAAAAATGTTGATTAGGACTTACTTACAGCGCATCTCTGAGTATATTGAATTTTAACCTTTGTAAAAGTAACAGCATCCTTGGAAGTTTTCAGAAAAACAACTTTATGCATTGCCTTTATTTCTTTCAGGGGAAGTTAATCAACTAGGGGGAAAACAATCCTGCTAAACCCTGCGTTGGAGAGCAGTTTAGTTAGGAAATAAGTACTGTGTTTACCTAATGTGATTTCATAGTGTTCTGTATTGCCAGTCTTGCTGTATTGTTGATGGTCAGCTGTGCTTCCTGCTTCAGACCCTGCTGTTTGGTGTAGCTTGTTCAGGTTTTGCAGAAGGGTAATTAAAAGTAGCATCAGCAGAACTGAAACTAGAAAGGCATGTGTCCGCGAGGAGAGCGAGATGAGTAATGCAAATATTTGATGTGTCTCAGCTCTGTTAAAAATGTCCTAAACATAGGAGAGGAGCAAAACCTTTTTTCAAGTTTAAAGTTAAATTCAGAGAGCGCTATGTTAGGGATATTGTGTATTGGAATGCTTAATAGAAGTCCTCAGAAAAAACAGGCTTTAGACTTCACAGCCATGCCTCAAAAGATTCTTGGTTATAGTCTCAGTCTATCTTCTCTGTTCATTTCTTATCTCGATCGCTGTATATTAAAGTACCAGACATACAGTTCTCAGGGGGAGTCTGAAGAGGAACCGAAGCATGAACAGATATGACTGCTGGAATAGAGAGAGTGTGTTTAGAAGCAGAAAAATGTGTAGCATAAGTTGCAGATGGACAGTGTGTGTCATTGCACAATGATCAGATATTACAGAGGCAGGTTCTTAATTCTGTTTTGTGTTTCTTCATTCCTCACATGAGAGGACATGAAGTAGAACATAAGGCTTACTAGCTTAAAACTAGAAACTCGCAGGTGGTGATGCTCCACTGCCTGCAAACTGAGAATTATGTAGGACAGCATGCTATAAATGCTTTATCTAGCTTATTTATTTTGTTCTAATTAAACTAGCAGTTATAAATGAAGAACATTTGATTGTTCTGTGCTGTTACTTGTATAGTATCAGTACCTGCAAGATTTATTGTAACTTTTTTCTTCAACTTGTGAATCTTTATTTTCATGATTCTGAAACTTCCCTTATTTACTTTTTTCATCTACAAACGTGTCCTTCATCCTTTTCATTTTCAGTCACACTCAGCATTCTCCTCCTTTACATGTACTTTTCCTCCTCTGAAATAGGCCAATTGCCCTCCTACCTTAGGACGTTTGCCTGAAGTTCTTGTGATCTTTTCTAACCGTTGCTTGCTCTTTGACTTGAGTACTGATGCACTGTTTACCCGTACAATCTGTTTCTTAATCTTTCAAACTAGTTTTTCTACTTCACTGAACCCACCCAAATGGTCGCCACTTGGCAAAGTCGAAGGGGTATTTCTTATGTCTTAATATTTAATAAATGTCTCTTGGATTTTTCTTCTGTATTTTCATAACGTGGTGCTCTCATATGTCTTGAATTTAAAGAAGAAACAAAAAAAGAAAGCCAACCCAAGCTTACTTTCTCACTCTCTTCCTCTTCTCTGCCCTTATATATTTCTAGTGTTTCATTCGTGTTTGCTGCACTTGTTTCCTGTTATTTTATCTTTTCCTTATCAAACTTGATCCAGCCTTGGTCTATCTTGTGTCTTATTTAGTTCACCTCCAAAAATAATTTTTACTTCCATGGCCTACCTTGGTTTGCTCTAAACAGTCTTCATCAACAATGTTTACAATTCTGCTATTGCTCAACCCTTCCATATGTAGTACGTTGGTTTTTTGTTTGTTTCTTCAAAGTAGTCTCAAAATTGCCTTGCTTACGTATAGGCTTAAAACACTTATCTAGCACCTGTTGCTTTCATCTTGGTTCCTGTAACTCTTGCATGTTTGGTGTCTTTGCTTTTGCTAGCAATAATATTTTTGTTGTCTTCATTTTTCTTCATCCTAAAATGATCACCCTC